CTAAGAGCCGAAGTGGTGCAGCAGTTAGAGTGCAGTACTGCAGGCCACTTTAGCTGACTGTGTTCAGCAGGTCAGCGGTTCAAATCTCACCGGCTCAAGGTTGACTCAGCCTTCCATCCTTCCGGGGTAGGTAAAATGAGGACCCAGATTGTTGGGGGCAATGTAAATATATATATACATTGCTTACTGGTGTACACCGCTTAGAGAGTGCTTGCACTTAAAGCGGTATATAAGTCTCATAAATAAATAAATAAATAAATAAATGTGCTATCCAGATTCTGAACCTCAGCAATAGCAAAATGTAACATCTGTTTCTTTGGACAGTCTGAGAAAAGGTGGATTGTATAGCATTCTGATAGCTGCATATACAAGCAATTTAAGTGGTTGTAACAAGCTATTAAACTTCCTTGATATGGTCTCATGAGCCAGAACAAAATACAGTTGAAGTATTACAAAAGCTACATAGCAATGTTTCTTTGCTAAAATAAGCCTTCATGTAACATTTGCTGAAAAGATCTTCCAATAAGAAATAATTCTAAAACAAATGAGGGCAGTTATACAAAGAGTTGGTATCAAACATGTTAGGTTTTAAGTAAATAAATACTCACAGCTGGTCCCTGGGGCTGTGGTGGCATTCCTGGTCTGACACCAAGTAACCCAAGAGGGCCTGGAGGACCATGAGGATATCCTCCATCAGGTATTCTACGACGATCGTCCCAGTGATGCTGTTCATCTTCCATCCTCCTCCAGTACATGTCTTCCTCATAGCGTCTGAAATATACAAACCAAATCGCAATATATCAACTATATTTGTGTGTGTGTCTGTGTGTGCGCGCGCACACATGTGTATCTACCTAACTGTGAAGAATTCTTTTCTTTCGAAAAGAGGAGATTCTTATCGTTCAACATGGTCCATTAACATACACAAGGACCCTTCACCAAAAAAAGTTCAACTGAGTATGAATCATGATAATCTAGTTGGCGTATTACCTCATTTCCATTCTCCATCGTTCTTCTTCTTCACGCCTTCTCCAATATTCTTCTTTCTGCATTTGCTTTCTCATCTTTTCTTCTTGTATCTTCCTTGCCCGGATGCTAGGCTTCACTTCTACTTGTAAGTCTGGGTTTACTTTTTTCTGTTTTAAATGTGAAGATTTTGAATACATTTATCTAAGATTATTTTGTTTTTGTACATAGAGCGATAGATACCATTCAATATAGTGTACCATCCTAACGACTTTTGTGGCTTTAGAATAAAAAAATAAGCTTGTTCTAAATACTCCTTATTCTATATAGTGCAACATGCCACTATTTTGAATGTATTCCATTAGAATAATCCCACTCAAAATATTCTACTTTGACTATTTTGTTTTAAGCATATATGAAAAATTTAGTTATTATTTTGTTCTGAGTATGCTCTAGAATGAAGAACTTATATATTAGAAATATAAATCTTTCTAAGAAATTAGCAATAAAGAATTTTACTTTCACAGTATATTGACGTTCTGAAGCATGATACAAAAATGCTTAGAATTATTTTCAAATGAATTTCATAATTAAATAACTTCTTGTTAGATGCTGCCCACCCTCCTCTCCTTTAGAACTATCAATATCTCACTGTAATAGTCTTCGTTTGTTAAAAAGTAAAAACTGAATATGCATCAGTTTGTAATGAGAGCAAGTATTCTAAACAAAGAATGCTGTTTCAAATTGCTGATTCTAAATTCTATTTGTGTGAAGTCTTACAATATGCGGCAAAAACTTTTTCAATAAACGTGCATATGTACTGAAAACAATACATTATTTAAGACATCTACAATTCCTATATGTATTTGTAAGCTTCGTAACAGACAAGAACAGACTTTCACCTTATATTGTAACCGATGCCGTCTTCCTTTTAAGTGCATCTCCTTAGCATTAGGATCATTAAAGCTACATTCACAAAGCTTGCAATGGAAACGAATCACTTTTCCCTCATCATTACGAACCTTTGCAAGAAAGAAAATGTGGTTATCAGTTAGAGCTACTTCTTATCATGTGATAACAAGCCTGAATCAAACATTTTCAAGATAACAACTGAGCTCAAGGACTCCCTACCAGCCCAGAAGGGAGAAATCTGTCAACCCAAAACTCTGCAAAAACAAAAGCAATTCTACTTTTTTTTAATCAGTCTCTTTAATAATATACATCAATCTCCAGTCTACTGAATGATATAGACCCAGTAGCACTTTCCAGGTAAGGGAATTTGACTCCAAGATATGTTATAGATTTTGTTGCTTTTAAAGGTGGAATTCAATGTAAATTATTTAGAGTCATCCTTTCGAGTTAAATAGAAATAGCACAATTCAGTTGTTGTTTTTTTGTTCCTGTCAACAGAGGCACCGTGACTTATGTTAACCTATTTCTGCCAATACATATTTGAAATGATGGCACTGTTATTATTTAGGAAATCTAAATGGTAAGCTAGTCTCTTTTTCCACTCTTAATGATAGTTAATATTTACTTATACAACTAGACAGACACAAATGCAGCAGTAATATTTCTGACACATTAATGTAAAATGCAACTATTACCACACATTTGAACAATGATACAAAAATATTACTGTATCAGCACTGTACAATTTAAGAACAAGTATCTAATACTAGACTCTCTAATACTGCGCCATTTTTCAATTTTAAGTCAAAAACTCTACCATATTTCAGTATATATTCCAATACATGCTGCCATGCATCTGAATTCTGATTATTCAGTTTTGAAGAATGCTCCATATCTTAACTAATCTTAAATTGCTAAGATAAGGATGCAATTATCCTCCTTTTCTCAAATGCCAAACAGCATTGCAACTAATTTTTATGAAACTAGATCCAAATAATTAGGTGACATTTAATTAACCATCAATAAATACTATGATTCTGTAATTTCAATTCTGCAAATTTTAATACATTTATGTTAGCAAATACATCTGTGTTTAGTTTATGCTACGTGATATATCTGGATTTAATCAATATAGTTTTCACAATATTACCTCTTCCACATAGTCATGACCAACAGGTTGGACCTCGCTTTGCAAAGCAGCAAGAGCTGTAGAAGTTACAGCTTCAGCAGAGATATCTGCTTTAGACTCCTGCATTTGTACTGCGGCAACAGGGGTAGTCTTGATATTTTCTACAGCTTTCATGTCATCTATTTTACTTCCTGTTGTCTGTAATTTATTGCCACCTAATATGAAATAGTATAAAAGGAAAATGACCATCGCCTACAATAATCCTTCCCATAGTGCTTGTTTGGTTGGGTTGCCCTGCAACTTAGAAACTTACATTTTGATTGTTCATTCTTAACTAGATTTTGCTTTTATAGATTTATTGTAAAATCATTTGGAGACTAATAAATCAGGATATTTTAAAAATACAACACAATACAATAATAAATAAAAGAGTTGCCAAACATCATTTATATCTTTGTCAACTCCTGAAAATCTGCTGCCCAAATGATACGCATTGAAGGCCATTATTCTGGAATCTCTTTTCCTGGCTGAGGGTTACAACACAGTTCTCATAAATTCTATGGATTGAACAGCCTTCTGGAACTTGGTGTCCTCCAAATGTATAGCTTTATAAAATTCTCAGCAATAGCCACATTGGCTCTGGAATTTTGGGGAAATCTATAAATAGGAGATATAGATGAATAATTAAGCCACAAACAGTTCTACGGGGTTCTATCAGGACCCTGGAGAGTTCACTGTAGAGGCTGGATCAACTCTCAAGAACAGTTATGAAGAGAACCAAGTGATCTATAAGCTCCATTGCTAATTACAAATTCTAAACTTAACAAGCCTGTAGAATTTAGAAAGTAAAGCTGAGACTCCTACATAGTTAAGACGCTTTAGAAGTTTTAGAAAGGTCAACTTCTAAGGCTAAATTATTAAATCTGGCATTTAATTAACATTTCCCTCTACACTTAATTAGCAATTTTGAAAATTATTTATAAAGATTTCTGGAAAAGGCATGGAATGGAAAATATCTGTTCAATTAAAGAACCTCATTCAAAAATATAATCACTAGCAGACAAAAACATAAAAGATCTGTCTGCCTGTTCAATCATGTCTGATTCTCGGAGACTACCTGGATAAGTCCCTGCAGCTTTCTTGGTATCGTTTTTCAGAAGCAGTTTGCCATTGTGACTAACCCAAGGTTATCTTAGGCTTTGTGCCTCAGGTGGGACTAGAACTCATGATCTCCCAGTTTGTAGCCTGGTGTGTTAACCCCACTACACCAAACTGGCTCTTATATAAAGTATACTGAAATTTTATAATTATATATAAATGAATTTATAGTCTTAATATTTTTATAAATTTAACAATAAAGATCTCTATACTTGCCAACAAAGTTAATTTTGGGTGTAGATATCTTTTTTACAGCAATGTTAGTTGGAACTATCGTAGCTTTGTTGTTTGATGTTGTACTAAGTAGCACATTGGCAGAAGGAGTAAGAATTTTTACTGCCAAAGATGTAACAGAAGAATTCACAGTGCTGCTGCTACTTGCGATATTTGAAGACACAGCTGCTGGCTTAGAAGATGACGTTGCTGATGTAGCCTGGGTGACAACATTTGGTTCAGTTGAAGGAATGGGTTTGCCAAGTTTAGTATGCAGCTTAACCACCTAGAATCATTAATAAAAGAAGTTTATTTTAACTGAAATTATAAACATGCATGTAGATTTATAACTGCTAAATATTTAAAATAATTTTAAAAGTCTATAAAAAGAATTAAGAAGGGGAAAGGCCTACTTTTTGGTGTTTAGCTCCGCGAATATGAGCAGCATAAGCATCAGCTCCAGTGCAGGACACATCACACAGCTCACAACGCAACTGGTTCTGAGTCCCACGAGAAGAAGCACTGTTACTGGTGGTGTTCTGAGATACTTTCAATGCTGCTTCTTTTTTTTTATGCTTCTGTCCCTCCAAATGTTCTTTGTAAGTCTAAAATAGAAAACAAAAGAGATTAATACATTTGTTTTATTATTCCAAGTTTTATGTAAACAAGATGAGGCAATTCTTATGTTTGCTTTTGAGAGGGTACAGAATTTATAGTATTATGTCATGATTTTAATGTCTAAACTTGCTGAAATGTTCTAAAAAAATTGTTATTGTTCATTGTTCATGTTTGGCTTAGCAGTATAGATAATTTAAAAGCAGGAATTTACATCTGATAGCAGATAATCACCCGATCACTTAAGCTGGCAAAATCACCAATTATTATTTTGAGAATGTACCTATCCTAACCTTCAGAATGACAAAATTTGACTCTGAATAGCTTATATTTGAATGTAGTAAAACAGGTTAACTCAATATTTTTGTACTGTTATATACATAGACACAAAAGTCAGTTTGACGTAGCAAAGGCAGCAGGCTAGAAAGCAGGAAACTGTAAGTTCTAGTTCCATCTTAACATAAAGCCAGCTGGGTGACCTTGGGCCAGGAGAGCTAACCAGTTCTGAAAAACCTTGGCAAGAAAACGTTTGTCCAAGAATCAGACATGACTAATATGGAAATTACACACACACACGCACACACACACACACACAGAGATGCATCTTATGAGAATATTGAAAGACTCCTGTGCCTACTTTGCATGAATACTTGGATGGGCTTGGATGCTTGTCTACTATAGCAAAAGAACCATCATGCAAATTCCAGTCTTCCAATTCCTTATTGTGGAAGAGGGCATCTGATGGTGAGATATACCAGAATAATGGCAGTAGAAAGCATCCATTCAATTAGCATCACTGAATATCGGCTGACTATAGGCCTATGGAAAGAAAATCTCTGTCCAAAATTACACCCTTCCCAAATGATATGAAATTGTTTTTCTATCTGATGATTAGGAACACAAGATGTTTGCAGGCAGGTTCAGATGGCTCTCCTTCTGTTCTAAGGAGGGGAAGCTTATCAATAGATTGATCAGCCAAGCATAAATATGCATTAGATGTGAAATGGGCAAATTTGTGAATACTTAGACAGTTTACAATACACTGAAGGGAAGAGCCATGCTTTGATAACAGGCTCACAGAAATTTTCTGAGTGGCATATATATGGATATGGGGGGAAGTAGTTCTCTGGCAGATTTACAGATACCAGGCAACTCTCTCTTTGATGGCATTCCACAATGAATTTATAATTTCATGAATATAAAATTTTCATGAAAACTTGGTCTGTGTCATAACAATTTGTTGTTCTTCTGGGCAGTTACAAAGACAATTGGTAGAAATCAGAATATTTGTTTGTAGGTGGCATGGTTCAGTTGTTGTAATTTGGAGCACATGCTGTGTGTGGAAGTTTCCTTTGTATTCTTGATCTCTAGAGACAAAAAGGACAAAGCATGGAAAGCATGATGGGAGATCTATAGTACCATTAGGCTCAGGTTTCCTATGCATTACTGATAAAACCTTTCTCTTGATTTCGGTTTCCATTAGATATACTCCCATGCCTCTTTAAGCAGGTTCTTCCCTTTAAATAAGCCTGCGGTCACAAGTGGAGTGCATATTTCAGGGTTTTTTTTTTTTTTTAGTTAAAGTTATGTCTTGGTTGCAATATCCAAGGACACTGTTCTAGCAAGAAATTAGAGACAATTTAATTTAGACTGACATCTGCTATAAAGAACACAACTTTGGCTACTTTATTTACCTTATCTTGCTTCCTTCAGTTCTGAACCATAAACTAGAGAAGCTGGTTTGATTACAATATAGTGGTTACAAACTAAGAAAACAGACAGAAAAGAAGACGATAACTAAGCTTCAAGAGGGGAATAAGACCTATATGGACAACAGAAACATTCAAAGAGTTTTTTGGAATTAATATACGAATTTATATAAAGAACAAGAAATCTCTTTAGATACAATAGAGGAGTATATAACAACTAAAAATGTTCCTCAACTGTCGGAAAACTACAAGCAAATTTTGAATAGTTGAATAACAACTTTTGAAATAATAGAACCAATTAAAAGAGCTGAAACAGGCAAAACTCTGGGACCAGATGGCCTACCGAGCGGATTTTATAAAATTTTCGAAGATCAACTACTTCTTCCGATAAAAGACTTAATGAAGTCCATCTTACAGGGGAATCCTATACCAGACTCTTGGAAAGATGCCTACATTTCTTTAATACCCAAAGATAAACTGGATGTGACTTCTGTGAAGAACTACAGCCCAATTTCTCTCCTTAATGACTTAAAAAAGTTTTTACAGGATTATATACATAAAGATCAGAGTGGTTTCCTATCTAAAAGACAACTAAAAGATAATGTAAGTAATTCTGAATATAATTGGATATTTACAACAACATAGCGACAAATAGATTGCATTAGTCTTTCTGGATGCAGAAAAAGCTTTTGACAACTTGAAATGGGCCTTCATGTTTAAAATAGTGGAAAAAATGGATTTTGGATTGGGCTTTATACAGGGTCTAAAGTACATCTATACATTCCAGAAAGATCGAATCATAGTGAATGGAGATTTTACAAAACCAGGTGAACTCAAGAAAAGAATAAGGGATGTACTTTATCCCCTTTATTATTTTATTCTAGTGCTGGAACTATTAAATAGAGCTATTAGATAGGATAATAGAGCAATAGGACCACAAATGGAAGTGCATAATTACAAATTATGTGTATTTGTCAACAATTTGGTATTGATTGTGCAAGTCCTGTTAGAGAACTGGCAGCTGGCAGGACAGTTTGTTTTGATTTCCTGGAGTTGCGTGTGGAAGATCTGCTGCTTGCTGTGCTTGAGAACTGGGCTTGAAGAGAGCTAGAATTACTTTGTAAGTATTTTAAAATATTCTTTTTTGTTACTCTATAATACTGTATTATATTGTTTGTAATTACTTTGGGAATTGCTCTGCTTTTTATTGTTTTGTAAGTACAGTATTTTGCAAGATTGATTGTTTGCATTTGCCTGAAACTTATAGCATGTGGCGGCTGCTACTCCTTTCCCTAATGTAGACCCATCAGAGATTCTCCTAACACTTACTGGAAGGAAATTCCCCCCACCCCTCCCCATTTTGGATTTTGGCTGGAGAGGCTTGTCCTGATAAGGAGCAATGTTTTTTTTTTCCTTAAGGTTTTAAATTTAAATTGCCTCCAGAAGTTGTGGGTGTTCTCTCACTGGAGGCTTTTAAGAAGAGTCTGGATAGGCATTTAGCAGAAATACAGTTCAGTATTCTCTTATGAGCAATGGGTTATACTAGACGACCTCAAGGTCCCTTCCATCTCAGTTACTGTTGCAAGCCAACAGTTCTGTAAACTCCACCCCATCTCCCTCTGCACGCGTCCACCCCATCTCCCTCTGCACGCCTGGCTGGAGATGCTTAGGCTAATGGCCGGCAAGTGTTTGTGTGTGTGTTTTAAAGCAACCAGAGATTTCTGTAAACTGGAGACACTTAAGCTAATTACTTTAGTGGCAGCTGCAATGATAGATTTCTCCACCCCACTCTGAAGAAGCTTGAGCTACCTAGCAACAAATGGCTTTTCCTTTTAAAAAAAAAAAGCCTATTGCCTACTTGGGAGGTAGTTTACAAGTACTGTGGTTACTGAAACTGGAAACAGCTGATTTGCGCCTGGAAACAAACAGCTTGCAGCAACGGCAGGAAAAGTCTCTCATTTCAGGCAGCCATCGGAGGAAATAGTAAATCAAATATTTGTTCGTTTAATGACCCATTTGATTCAATTAATGAGTTTGATTTTAAAATGTTGTAATATTGAGTCTGATTCATTTGACGATTATGAGCCTAATGGGCAGATTCTATTAGGCTCGTACCTTGGGGACTACCTGTAAAGATATTGTTTCATTTAAAGTTCAGTGAAAAGAATATTACTGATACCTGTGGTCCAGCACAACTGATTTTGCAAACATCACAATAGTGGATCTGCGGTGGTTTAGGAGGCTGTTTTGGTTTTAGTTGTTTATTTTGGAATGGTGCCTTTTTAGTAAAGGTGGTCCCTGTCCAGGCAGCTGTTGCAGCAGCAGCAGCTGCTGCCGCCGCTACTTGTTTTTGCTGTTGCTGCTGCTGTTGATAGTAAGATGATGCAGCTGAATACACTGCAGCTTCATAACCCGAATAGGATGTACCTTTAAACAACAGAAAATTCAGGTCACATTTATGAGAGCTACAACCCACAATTCATCTTTTAAGGAAAGTTTCAGCATTAACATAGCATTTGTTAAGAACGGTTTCATCTTTAAAAGAGAATTTCAACATTAATATAGTACACAAAAAGTTGGTAATTTATCAAATTTGTAAGCCAACTGACTCTCAATGACCTTGGGTCACTCATAACAACTAAGACAAGGGGAATAACTAATACAAAAGTAAAAGATGGTATGACTGGCAGACTGGTTAGGAAAGACACAAAGTGTCTTTACTCTCCCTTGTCAAAAATCTGGATGAAGAGCCACATCTTCAAGGCTCTTCAAACAATACAAGGTGGGGACCATCCAGGTTTCTAGGAGAACCTCATTTCACAGAAAAATCATTGCTACAGTGAAGTTTAATTTCACAGTTATACAAAATTAAACTTCATTTCAATCTATATAGGCAAGCTATATCTCAGTGCAAAGAGGAGTGACTTGCAATTTTTAAAATCAATTCATTATAATATCAAATCAATAACATCTACAACATAAAAGCATTCATAGCATCAGTTGCTGAACACCTTCCAAATATATAGACTTTATTTCTTGGAATTCTGCAGACATTTCTGAGAAAACTGAATTGTCTACTCAATCAATTTACTTATGCTTTGAGATAGGATGGGAAGGGGTAACGCTGAAGGATAAAGATTAAGATTTTTGGTTCCATCCACATATTAACCTCCTATTATCCTGTTTTTAGCACTATTTCATTTAGGATTCACTACAGTACCAAAATTCCACAAGCCCATCTCTCTATTGAATTTATAATGATGAAATTTAAATAATATGAGTTAATTGGCCATGTTAAGACAATCTAATCTGCTTGATTCTGATGATTTATGCAACAATTTACACCTTATAATATACTAAATATATTATATTTATCTAAGACATTTTTTATCATTATGTGTACCACTATAACTTTTAACAGATACAGATGTCATATCTGCTATGGATTAAACTAAGGCAATCTGAAATTGGCTTCTTGTTTTCACCAAGTCATATCAGGGCCAAAACTAATCTAAAAGCTGCAATCCCATAATTATCTCAAAGGAGGCCCTGACAGAATCCAACTCACCTCTTAGTAAATATGCACAAGATTAAGCTGCACACCATGTAATTTGAATGTAAAATCTAGTTTTTCTAAGATATGTCAATGCAATATTTTTATAACTCTGACTTCTCCCTTATATACACCTTACAAATCATTTCTGTCCTGTTTAAGTATTACTCACCGGAATATGTAACTGCTGTTGTACTATACGTGGCACTTTGGGTATATGAGGGAACCACAGTCGCTGCAGCAGCAACAGGTTGCACAGTGGAAGATACCGGATATATAGAGAATGTAGTAGTAGCTGGACTTGGAGTGGCTGGTTTTATGGCTGTAACCTGTCGAGTTTGCTGGGCTTGAGTGTACTGAGTAGCTCCTTGGCTATAACCAGCCTTTGGAGCTAGATAAGAGCAGGAAAAAATTACACATTAAAATCAAGAATTCTCTCCAACCTGTAATTTTATGAAGCAATTTCCTTTTTTCTTTATCTTATTACTAATATAAAAATAGAAGTACAAATCCTAACATATCTTTAGGTTCCATAAATATATATTTTATAACATTTTAATTTAATTTAATTTAATTTAATAGCATACCTTCAAAATAGTACAGGAACAATTGCAGAAAAAGCCGATGTCCTGTGGTTTAAGTTTGTATGGATGAAGGTTTTATTGTACTTATCAATCAGATCCCAAATGTCCAAGAGAACAATATAAAGCTTTTAACTAGTAGTTTTTAATTTATTTATTTATTTATTTATTTATGAGACTTATATACCGCTTTAAGTGCAAGCACTCTCTAAGCGGTGTACAACAGTAAGCAATGTATATATATATATTTACATTGCCCCCAACAATCTGGGTCCTCATTTTACCTACCCCGAAGGATGGAAGGCTGAGTCAACCTTGAGCCGGTGAGATTTGAACCGCTGACCTGCTGAATACAGTCAGCTAAAGTGGCCTGCAGTACTGCACTCTAACTGCTATTTGCAGTAACATTTGTTTAACAAAGTATATAATTTGATTGATTATACTGACTTAAGGTTAGATGACATGCTAGTTATAATTTGAAACCTAATGAAAATTATCAGCACAGGACTACACCAATGAACTGATCTGCTAAAAAGACTGAAATATTTTAGTCACAGCATATTTTAAATTCACTCAAATGTCAATTAAGAGATTGCTAACTATTCATCCCCAAAACATGAATATATGAATACATATACACTCTTCGGGGTATGTGCTCTGCTTAAGAAAGCTACAAACTTTCTTTGGGCACTAGGAGAGTGTTAGGTAAGCCCATTTCTAAAGAAGGATGATAGCATATTGATTAGCATCCTTCTAATTTGTATTTCTTCTTTGATATGTATTTTTAGTGATTGTTTTTATTTTGTTTGTACATGACTCAGTCATCATGAGCTATATGGCTCTACAACAGCGGTTCTCAACCTGTGGGTCGCGACCCCATTTGGGGTCAAACGACCATTTCACGGGGGTCACCAAACAACGTGATCCGCCATTTTTTTGTCAGCCGGCGCAGGGGGCAGCACCGCGCATGCGCACTGCGCATGGGGCCGGCACCGTGCATGCGCGCCGCGCAGGGGGTGGCGCTGTGCAGGGGGCGCCGCCGCGCATGTGTGCCGTGCAGGGGGCGGTGCATGGGGCGCCGCCGCGCATGCGTGCCACGCAGGGGGCGCCGCCGCGCATGCGCGCCGCCTGCTTATGTCTGGGGTCGCCATATAAAAAGGTTGAGAACCACTGCTCTACAAGTTAAAGAAATAAATGAAGTAATAACCGAACCACTAAAACTACTATTATTAGAGCCATGGTCGAGCAGTGGTTAGAATGCAATATTGCAGACTAATTCTGCCATTGCCAACAGTTTGATCCTCATCGATTCAAGATTGACGCAACTTTCCATCCTTCTGAGATTGGTAAAATGAGGACCTAGATTGACGGGGGCAATATGCTAACTCTGTACACCACTTAGGGAAGGCTGGAAAGCACTGTGAAGTCTAAGTGCTATTGCTATTAAATTACATTTGTTAAAGCTACCCAATTCCCCAAAACTAAGTGCTTACACAATATCAAATATATAATTAAAATATAGTTAAAAATAAAACAAGCATAACTACCCAGAAAAGCCAACAATACAATATTAAAAATAAGAAAGGCTTCACAAGTGCCTTAACCCCAGACCTGTGCCCAAGCAAGTTAAGGAAGGAATTGGACTCAGTCCCAAATTCCTACAATAAACTATTACTTGGTTTTGAGAATGTTTAAACTTTAGACTTTTTAAAACTATAAGATAAAGACAAAAGGATTTGAAAGTATGAAACTCACCTGTTTGATAGTATGATTCAGCTACAGAAGGCTGTGGTTGGGCAGCAGCTGCCACTGCAGTTGCAGTTGGCTGCTGATAGTATTGCTTGCTGTCATAAGCTACAGCTGGAGCAGTAGATCTAACATAGGAATAGGAGTCCTGAAGAAATACATGGGGGGGGGGGAATAATGGAATTTACATGAGGGAATCTTTGTGGCTCATGTGCTTCCTAAAAAAATTCTTCTAGGTTTGTGAAACTCTCCTAAATATGATACAGACAGAAAGTTTTTCCTTTTGGAATTAACTTTTTAAGTTACATTAATATTTCATATTTAGCCACTAAATTAGAAAAGAACTGAGGCTGAGAACTGACTTAAATTATATAGGATTCAGCATACCATCAATGTATAATCTGTTCCCTGTATTAATTCTGAGAAGTTCTTTAACATTATGCATTCAAAAAATACCCCAGAGGTTTTCATTCTTATTGCATACTTATTCAATTACCCATTTTTAATAAGGAAAAACTGTTTTGATTTATATATTACACTAAGCCATGACATGCTTTGTTTGGCTTTGTACATTTTATGAATTTACCCACTGAAATTATAAAATATAGTACTATAGTTAATATGTAGTATAAATATAATTCTTGGTTAGGCAGTGTTGGACTTCAGGGTTTAGTGACTGGTCCAGAGAACAGATTTCCTGACATTTCAAAGGGAGACACCAGTCCTCACCAATTAGAAATCAGCTTGGCTAAAGATCAATCAGAAGTTAGGATACCTGGTTATAAAGATAAGAGTCCAATCAGTTCCTGCTTCAGTAGCCTATGGTCTGCATAACAGATCATCTTGCTTGTAAAGATTGCAGCCATAGTTACTGGTAAAACATCAGGGAATCTGATGTCTAGTCCACTAAAGTCTGAAGCCAAAAACTGCCCAAACATGTACCAGCATAAAAGCCAACACAAGTAAATTCTTGGTTATTCAATAAATCATGGTTAAACAAAAAAACTGAACTGCACCATTAGTGAATGATACTTTATCCATATTTACCTGGTAATTCTGTGTGGTGACTGGTGGAGGTGGTGGAGGAGCTTCCTGCTGTCTCTGTGTGTAACCATAATCAGTTGCCGTATGTGCTGTAGGGTATCCTCCATAGGCTGCAGCTGTTGCAGCAGCTGCAACAGCCACTGGAGCAGGCCTGGCTACTGCAACTGTTGCTGCTGCTGGGGCATAGGCTGCAGTAACTGTATGCGCAGCTACAGGAGCCTGATGAACAGTGTAGCTTGCAACTGTAGTTGGATGGGAATAAGCTACACCTGAAGCCGGCTGTTGGCTGTAATAGGAAGAGGCCAAGAAGTATCACTATATAATAATGAAGTCTAATACCCAGCAACTATGCTCTTAAATTGTTCAAGTCTCAATAAATCTGAGAAAGGTTAAACTAAATTAAAAATTTAGTATTATGGATCTACTGTACCTAATAAAATACATATTAAGTAATATTATGAGCATCCATTAATGAAAGTGTATCTACCAAAGGAACTGATTCCTAGTTATCCTTTAAAATTAGCTTCAGAGAATTAAATTTGAGGGGCAGAAGTTCTAATGGTTCAATGTACCAGGTAGAACCCACCTAAATTACATTTGTAAAGTTCTTAATAAGGCCTAATTTTATAGCCTCTAAAAAGCAATCACATATAATAAATTCATATTATACACCTGTACATTAACATCACATTTATATTTTGTTTCTTTTGTTAGGTTGAAGAATGCAGCTTTTCAAAAGGACTGAATGAGGTACAGCAGACAAACCTCACAGAATCACACAGCTGAAAGGGACATGCATCTCAGAAGAAATTCATGCAGTGTTACAACTAATTCATTTTAATTGTGTAAGCCATCATCATTTGAGAATAGCTTTCCAAGTCTAATAATAAATGTACAATAAGTAATCCTGCACATAGAAATCTGCTCTTAATTTTTGTATAGAACTTGTTGATTTTGAACTTGTTTAGTAATATAACTAAGAATTAACTATTCAGTTTCAAGAACAAAATATTTATTCCCTTCTCAACAAACCTGGCAACTCTGACTAGCAGATTTGCAAGAACAATACAATATAAATTCATTTAACCTTTTAATCTCAATTTGTCATATTAGAAAAAATAAAATGTGTACGAAGATCCTGACCACACATCAAAATATAGTCATTATGCTGAATCACTTAATGTTGATTCACAGAATATAACATCTTTATATTCCTCTTATAGTACTTAAGGATAAGATGTATAATACCCAAAGAAATTCATTAAAAGAATATTTGCAGTTTCATTTAGTAAAAATAAGTTTTGTTATAGCACAGAATGAGTAGCCTTAGTACTGTTTTTTTTCTCTCTAAGGCAAGTATGGTTCTGCTACTATTTTTGTTTTAGCAAATCTGTTCCCTTTGCTTCTGCAACATCATGCAGAGCCAGTGATCGAATTTGCAAGATCATTCACTTTGAAAATCTTAAAACTCTTAAGTGTCTTTACCAGTGTTACTACTATATTATTATTTACAATTCGCTATTTCACTTTTTATCTTCCTGATTTTCCACATGGGATATATTGGCCACTGGCTATTTATGTGTAAGAAATGTTTTATTTAATTATTCATTTTATTAAATTTATTATGGCTACCCATTCCAAACAACTCTGCTTCTGTACCCTTGTATTAAAGTATCAGAGCTGTTGGGCAGCCTATAAACTGTATAAAAAAGTAAAGGCAAACGTTATATGGGCTCAGTTTGTTAAGAAAGTTGATATTTTTCTCTATACTTACAACGTATCTAAACCGACAGAAGCACTGATAAAATGGAAAAGGAATTATTTTATTCTCCTGATAATTCTAAATAACTGTGCTTTCTAGATAAAAGCTGCATTCTGATTAAACTTTACTTTCTACAGACCTAATTCTAGATTATTAGAGGTAGTCCTTATTTAGCTACCACAACTAGGACCAGAAATTTGATCATAAAGCAAAATGGTTGCTAATTGAAACCACGCCTGTGCATATGATCTTTCTTCAGCTTTCCTTTGCTTTAGAGACCCATGAAGGTCAGAAATAAGGATTGGTCACAAAGCTATTTTGCTTGCTATGGAGACTTATGAAAGTTGTAAATGACCTTTGTTTGATTGCAAAATTATATTTTTATTACCATCATAGCTATGAACTGTTTCTATATGAGGAAACAGCTAAATGAAGACCTATATTCTGATGAAATTCAGTGAAGAATCACTAATGTAACAGATAAATTATGGGAACCGCACAGACTTACTGTCTTTGTATAAAACCTGAAGTATAAATTTATAGAATATTTATATATTGTCTTTTATATTAAGATTTGCAAAGCAACTTCAGCATTTGATCAACTGATTCACAAGTTTTCCTGATAGTTTGGTATCCTATGGTGACTACAAATATGCCTCTAGGTTCAATTCAAGTTACTGATACTGTGTCTCCCCAAAAATAAGACTGGGTCTTATTCCCCCCCCCAAAAGAGGCACCGGGTCTTATTTTCAGATTAGGCCTTACTTCACCTCTGGCACTGACAGCTCCACCCAGCCGGTCCACTTCTTCTGGGGCCAAAATTCTGCAGCTGTATTTGGCCCTGCAGTCAGGCCTTTCCAGAAGGCCTAAACAGCTGAGTACAGAGCTATGGATTCAATTCATAGCTTGGTGCTCAACTGCTGAGGTCTTGCAGAACCGAGGTATGGATTCAATCCATAGCTCCGTTTTTGGCTGCACAGGCCTTCCAGAAAGCCCTGTGAGTGAGAAATGCATACCTGGCTGCAGAAGAGGCCTCAGAAGAAGTGGGCCGGCAAGGAAAGGCCTGGCTGCAAGGTAAGTGGGTGCAGGGCGGGTGGAGCAGCTCCACTCCCCCCCCAACTTGATTTTTAGGTGTGTTCCTCACCCCAAAACTAGGGCTTATTTTTGGGACAGGGCTTATATTAGGCCCACCCCCAAAAATCAAGCCAGGGCTTATTGTTGGTGTAGGCCTTACTTTCAAGGAAACACATAGTTACTTTTACGGCAGCAACCCCCAACCTTTTGCACACCAGGGACCGGTTCTGTGGAGAGAGGTTTTTCTGTGGACCGGAGGGGGCATAGATTCGTGTGCTGCCTGTATCCCACAGATGCGGCTTCACTTGTTTGTGTGGACCAGTTTCTGACATGCTGCGGACCAGTGCCGGTCCACAGATCGGAGATTGGGGACTCCTGGTTTAAGGCATGGAATGTGGTCAGGTTATTTGCAGACTGCTATATAGAAGATTACTTAAATTGATATTAGCAATATATGTTACCATCTCACTGAATACAATTGCTTGAAATAAATTGTTTATTCCTAAAAAGAGAATCATATGTTTGTTCATTTATACTTTATGATTTGCTTTCCAACAAGCAAAGTCAAGGGCGAACAGGGAATTCAGCAGGAAGTTGCAGATTGTAGTCATGCAAGGTCCTTGCTTAACAACAGTAAGAGGGGTTGCCAAAACAGCTATTGCTAAGCAGCACTGTAATGTGGTTTTTAAAATTATGATGTGTCACTTAACAATGGAGTTTCTGTCAGTTTCCCAAGTAGACCAGAAGAAACATGACAAGATGAGCTGATTCTACTTTACCATAAGGCTACAATAACAGAATCTTGGTGCTGTTTCTTTTTATCTACTGATTAGTAAAGATAGATCCTTTCTAAGTTTCTTCCGCTAGCAAATTATTCAATTGCAGGCTCTCCTCCCTTTGATCTGATCAGTTCTTTAGTCAACATCTGTGCCCCCCCCCTCATGCTCACATTCAGCCACATCTTCTGGTCCCAATTAGCAAGGACTATCTGTATTTAAACATAGTCTTGTAAACTATTTTTTTAAAAAAATGTCAAACTACTTAGATCACCATGATCCAGGAGAAAACTAATATTGTTTGCAATAAACATGATTCTACTCAGAAAGTATATAACAAATAATAGAAACAAAGTGTGCTTTTTTCATCCTCAGCTATCTGTAGAAACACAATTCGTAACAACGAACCCAGCAAAGCAACAATTTATTTACTTAAACACAATCCAGGAAGAATACAGCAATAATTAAAATAACCTCCTGCATTATTTGAGTTTTGCATTTTGAGTTCTTGCATGAAAAATAAAGTACTATATATAACATAATAACAAGAACAGTAGCAAATTTAAAGCAACAATACATCTATCTACCAAACAGGCAAAAAGAATTTTTAAACAACATATTTCTTAGTCTTTGAAAATATGTTTAATTATCTTTCCCATCCACCAAGGTAGGGGCAGCAGAGCTGGAATGAGAGCCTGGTGCTTCAAGGGCAAATGCACTGTATCACCATGCTGCAAGAATGTAAAAGCAAACAAACAAACCAATTGTGGGATCAGAGGACCTTGAAACTTTCCCTTTTCTTTCAGCATAAGGCAAAACTTGGTAACATATGAATGAATTGTTACAATATGCAAAATATTCTCTGTGGGAGTAAGTAAGCTCTTAAATATATTTTTTCTTCCCAGAAAGAGTCCTGCTAAGCATTCAAACTCTTTCCCTCTAGCAGCCATTTTATATTACCCCGAGAAGGCTGCCTACCTCATACTACTGAATGTATTCTTCCTCTGGTATAATTGTATGAAGAACTGTCACCTAAGTAATTTTTTTTCTAAGGTTTCTAAGTAATTCTGAGAAAGTCAAATTAGAGCCTATCTGAGAAACAAAAAAACCCATCAAAATCAGTAATTGTTTTCTACTGAGTACAAAATTCAAAATATATACAAGTGGTCCTTGACTTATAACAATTGGAACCAGAATCTCAGTCTTTGACAATGGAGTTGTTAAGCGAGACGCCTGAATAACAACTTCACTCAATGGACACAGTCTCTGCGCTTCCAGTTTCAGCTGTTAAGTGGATGAAACAAAAGAGCTGCCTGCCAAAGGGCAGGAAAAAAATGCCTACAGCAGGCTGCAGAAATGAAGCTCAAATCTTCAGGAGGTAAGCTTCATTTCTGCAGCCCTCTGAAGGAGCTCCCTTTACCTCCTTGTGCAGAGAAGAACCTCTTTGAGGGGATGCAGAAACAGGGCTCTGATCCATGGGACATGATCTGTTTCTGCAACCCTTCCGAGGAGAACCTGTCCGCTGGGTTGGAGAAACAAAGCAGGAATCGCAAAGATCCACACTCCAGCCCCAATATACAAGTTCCCTTCCATACATGTCGAATCCCACTCACCATGCATGGAGGGGAGGGAGAATTCTTCAATAGGCAGCAGCTGCTTGCAACCTTTCTTGCCCGCTTCCCTACTGACTTTCTGAAGAAGCTGGCAGAGAAGACTGAAATGAGGATAAGATTGTGGGGCACTTGGCAACTGATTCCAAGTGCAAACAGTTGCCAAGCACCCAGATCAGGATCATGTGACCACAATGGGGAGAGGGATCAATGCAGTGTTTTGTGCTACTACATTAAATGACTGGTTGTAAGTGAAGGCCTATCTGTAATGAGGAATTGAGTTGATTGAGGTGTCAGCATAATATAATTACATGACTAGGAGAATCTAATAATAGCAATTTTCTAATAATTATAGAACTGGAAAAGGAATTTTGGGTTTGTATCCTTATAAATGAAACACATTGGGAAGGTTTGCCAATGTGGCAATCCAATTTTTAATATAATGATTGGAAAAAACATCACTGGAATGTTTATACATAGAATAATCAATTCCTACAGAATTCTAAAGAACTTTCTTCCTTTTCTGTGATAGAAACCAGATCAAAGGAAGACTACTAAAAGTTTTCCATATTATTTTTCAGAAATACAAAGGCAGCATTCCAATTCTAATGCCAGAATTCAAAGACATACGCAGAATGTTCCTTAAACACAGAAAAACTTTGTCCCTTCTTCCAAAGCCTTTCAGAAGTCTATGCAAAGCAAAATTTTAAACCAAAGAGGAAAACCAACAAAAATCCAGGATCTATTTTTCATCAGTTTGAATTCAATAATATGCCATAATTATGACTAATTAATACCAGCCAAGAAAGATATATTGTTCAATAGTTACAATTTGCTCCTCTTTCCACTAGGAAGGGGTAAACCACCAAATAGTTTTACCTCCAAAGATAAATTTCCAGTTTGTCACTTTGCAGCATGTCAAGAATTATAACCCAAGAAATAAAATCCCAATTTGTTAAGTGAGTAATAAACGAAGAATTATAAAACCAATAGAAACATAACATTAAGTTTTTGTTTATTTTAACCAAATGATGATTTCCTAGTTATTTTAACAGATGTTGATAGAGCAAACAACCAGAAGAAATTACTACAGTGATTATTAACACATACTAGTTTATTACTAATCAGCAAAGGATTATCTTATTACATAATCAACAATCCTCTGTGTGAGCAAAAACTGTTTTCAGACTGCCAGATTATTTTTAGCTAAAAACATGCCC